AACAAGGGGACAACGATAGGAAAACTGCACACATCTTTTGCAGTACACAGACTCCTGGAAGTTTTGGTCACAGATAACGAGCCCTCATTTACCCGCAGAGAATTTGAATATTTCATAAAATCTTAAATATTCACCATATAAGGACAGCTCCATACCATCCATCATCCAAAGGTCTGGCAGAAAGAACAGCCCAAACTTTGAAGGCAGGTTTAAAGAAATAGCCTACAGCTTCACTAGATACCAAACTGTCCTGGTTCCTATTTGATTATAGGACCATCCCTCATGCAGTTACAGAGATAGCTCCAGCAGAGTTGCTAATGGGGAGAAGACTACACACGCAGTTAAATCTGATCTTCTCAGGCTTTGGAGGGAGGGTAAAATGGTATCAGGAATGCCAACGCCGGACACAAGACTCCACTAAGCGAGACAGACAGTTTACTTCAGGGGATGAAGTTTGGTGTAAGAACCACAGGAATGGCCCTACGTGAGTAAGAGGCATGGTTGATGCGAGATCAGATCCAGTGATGTATAAAGTTCTACTAGGTGTGATGGTCCTGATCAAGCACATGGACCACATGAAAGCTGTAAACTCTCAAACAGTGCAGGATCATAACTTGCCCGGCTCCTCAACATCCTTTCCAACTTCTGGAACCTGTGGGTTCTCCCCCTCTGTCAAGCATTGAAGATACTTCAGAATCTGAGATGGACATGGCCAATGTTGCTGCCTTGACCACTTGGCCCTTTTGAGAAGAGAATGAATTTCTTCCGAGACGCTTCAGGTGCAAGAGGCAAGCTACTGTGTGTTACATGATGCCTGTATCAGAGACAGAATTGGAGGAACCTGACCTAGTGCTAAAACACCCCAGGAAGAGCTACAAGATAAAGGGCCAGCCTATGTCCTCAGACTCAGAGCGGGAGGGATGGAGTCTGTTAATCTGGTTGAGTCAAGGAGGCCCGGCTGACAGCTAAGAACAGGAGTGTCAGATATCCTGTTTACACTGAGGGAGCTGGATCAATGTCAAGGACTCTCTATATGTAAATAAAGGGTGACCTGGTGACCTGCTGATGGGATACTAGCCTCTGTGATGTTATTTTGGAAAAGTGTTAAGTGGAGGTCTAGTTCAACCTGCTGTCAAGACAGTACACTTGCAGTTGTTCTACAGTGGAGTCATAAGTTGCCAGAAGAGTCGCAGTGAACTGTTAGAGCTCACAGTACTGCCAGAAGGTGGTACTACAGGGTTTTACTTTTCTTGTTTGTGCATACAAACCAGGTAGGTCCTATCACTCCTCCAAAAAATGATCATTCTCAGATCTTCCACTTTCTAACCCTAATGCAGCACAATAAAGCATCCAAATTTAAAATAGCGTGAATCCATTTAGGAAATACAACAGTGGAAATATTTGAATTTCAAGTGATGGAAATTGAAGTTAACTGCAGAGATCTGCCACTTTGCATTAAATAGAATGATGCATGCATCAACAACTTTGGTGCTAATTTTAGAAATGTTTATTTGAAACTGTACTTTAATTTCCTATTGTATAAACATTTAGTAACTGAAATTGGTTAGACAGGATACTTTTCTTTGTAGGTTTATAATCTCTGGCCACTCTAGGGGTTTAAAGTATTTATGGAACAGCAGCTGTTCATCTTGTTTTCTGTTCATAGAAGGAAACTCAGCTGTTCAATATTGTTTGATGCCAAGAAAAAAGGTTACCAAAGCTAAATATAAATTAACAATGCCCTACAGATTTGTTGTTAAAATGTACTTTTTTTTTGTTTTCATTCCTTTCAATTTTTAACTAAGTTAAAACTTTATGATTTTCTCCTGCTTTCTAATAGTGTAACATTAATGTTACGTGTAGCTTCTCACAACTTCCTTGTCTAACATTAACTAACATAGAAACAAGCAGGACCATGGATTTAGCATGGATCATTACAACAGCATGACACAGTGGCTATGCAGTGAGGCTCCAAAGTACCATTTGTGTTGGTGCTAAATGAGTCTGGAAGTGCCTAAAATGACAGCCCATTCACTCTGGTTACCTCTGATGCAGCAGTACATTTAGAAGGGATTGTGAAACCTGCAAGCTGAGTATATTGCACCATTGTTAAGTGCCTAATGCTGATCTGACACCCAACCCAGCTGATCTTGTTAATACCTTCCTCTAATACTCTCAGCCTGAACTGAACTAAATGAGGTCCTGCTGCCCCCTCCCTCTCCACCCCCCACCCTCCAAAGGCATCAGTAGGCAGTAGGACATTTAGGGTTGGCTGTATCTGACTTCTTTTACTGCTGCACAGTTAGTGGAAGTACTGTATGTAGAGTTGTTTGAAAAGCTCTCAAAATATTTGGGGTCAGAAGGGAGTGACTCTGGACTTTGAAGTTCAGTGGACTTTGAAGGCTTCTGAACAGAAAGGCTGCTATCCCTCCAGTGGCTGTCGCTGTGGCCCCCAATTTCTTTGCCTCAGGATCCTTTCTGACTGAAGCCAAGGACATTACCAAATCTCAGGGTTCATTGTGCATCACTGCAAATTGTGCATTAGGGAGGTCACAGAGGTCCTGCATACGTGGAGAGGGACTTCATTTTCTTCCCTCTAATTGAAGAAATGAAGGAGCAGGTACAGATATGTGCTTTTGCCAATGTAGACAGAGAGGTGTAGGAAGCCAGCAACAGTATCCATACACCTTCTGTTAACATACTATTTGTTTGGGGAAATGCAATCATACTGGTCGGATTGCCTGACTCATATGACCCCTACCTCTGTGGTAAGCAAATGTGTATAAAATATGTGGCAGGCATTAAACACAGCATTTGAAACACAGTGTTAGCAATGATACAACTGAAAATCTGAATTTTCAGAGCTGTTAAGGAGCCAGCTCCTGAAAGAAACATCAAGGGAGAGGTTTCAAAAACAGTTGCAACTTTGAATTAAAGTGAGTAAAAATGACTACATATTTTGCACATCCAACTGCTGTAAAAATGAAAGGAGATATGAGACAGAATTGAAATTGCTTTCGCTTTCAATGGTAAAACTATGAAATAGCCTTTGCTACTGGGGAAAGAGTGCTACAAGCTATATTGCAACCTAGATCTCATTGAAGAGCAGAAAAGCCAGACTGCAGAGAATTTGTAGGCTTTGAAAACACACTTTGACCCTCATAACAATGTTACTTATTGTTTAATATCAGAGCTCAAGGAGAGAGAGACAATTGGTCAGGATGTGATTGCACTGATACATTTAGATGGATTCTTTGAGTTTGATCAAGATGATCTCATCAGAGTTGAAAGTATCTTAGGCATAGTAGATCCTAAAGTGGCAGCATATCTGCTGAGAGAGAAGAAATGTACTCTTAAGAACGCTATTGCTGTGTCAATCATCAGCTAAAAGTTACTAAAGGAATAAAGTATTTGCACTCTGGTGAGAGACATTCCAGGCAACTGAGAACAATATTTGGTGAAAAGGAATAAATATTCACAGAGCAGACAGCAGGAAGACCAAAGCTGGAGAGCAGAGTATTGTAAGTATTATGGAGGACAACACATGAAAGAAAGGAAAGCATGTCCAAATCAGGCAAATGGTGCTCTAACTGCAAGAAGCTGAATCACTTTGCCAGCATTTAGCTAGAAAAAGGCAAAGTGAGCCTGTGAATATGACTGCTGGAGAGATGTCAACTGATGGGTCTGACAAATAATACAACATAATACAACAGGTTGTTATTGTGATGTCTAAAAGTGATAGATGGTTTCTGACTGTTAGATTGATGACTGCAAAAGGACAGCATGGAGTAATTGTGAAGTATCAAGTGGATACCAGTGATTCATACAATATAATGAGTTTCACAGACCTGTTTGAAGTGGCTCAAGGTGGTGATCCAAAAGTGAAGCTCTCAATGTAAGGTTTAGGCTGTATGAAGGAATGGTAGTCATGCCAAATGGACTAATTAGGCTGAGAGCCCAATGGAATAAGAAGAATTAAGATCTGGAGTTCCAGAAAGTAAATGTTAAGCAACTGAAGTAAGTCTAAAGCTTGGTCTGATAATTCTACATGTGCCAGAAGTTGTTTGCAGCTCTTTGCGGGTCACTAAGCCAATGACTGCTGAACAAATCCTAAAAGATTACAAACCTGTTTTTTTAACACTTAACAGTTTAACAAGTTGGATATCTTCCTGGTGAATATCATTTCAAAGTAGATAAGACTGTGAGACCAACTCAGCATCTGCTCAAGAGCCTAAAGTCTAGTCTGAAAGACAAGTTACAGGAATTAAAAAAGAAGGGAATAATCAAGAAATTGGCAACCTTTGCAGACTAGACAAGCAGTATGGTACAATGAAAAAATCTGGAAATCTGAGGCAAAAACAGTGTTGGAGAAATGCAGCAGGGTGTGACAGAGAAACAAAAATAGGTTTCAATTCCAGTCACCCTTCACCAGAACTGAAAGCAGCTGGGAAACGATGGTATTTATGCTGATGATGAGGTTGGGGTTGAGGTGAGTAGCGGGGTGGGGGTTGGAGTGAGTCAAATAGAACATTTCCTCACTGCTTTTAGTTCTGAAGAAGGGTCATTGGACTTGACACATGAATACTACAAGATGTAGATGTGAGTCTTATGCCAGGGTAAGTGTGCAGGCTGGCTTTAGGAAACTGTAACTCCTACTGTCACATACTTACCTGTCTACATCGTCTTCATTGGATGTGGAGTAACAGTATGCTATTATCCCATATCCAAAAGACTAGCACAATCCTACTTTTAGTCCCGTATATTTAATCATAAAACTACTGTGTTTTCACGCCAGTAATGACAAAAAAGCTTTTTCCCTAAAACAATACCTCAAAGTACATTTCTGATCCTTAAGCCTCGAGTTGCAACTTTTGCACCAATATGGTTGATGTTGTTTTACCTAGTTGTTTGATGTAAGTTGTTACAGGGTTAGTTTTGATACCCCTGGATTTAATGCTGCATAAGTTGCATTTTACAAGTGTTCATTTTTATCTTCAAAGATTTTGTTCCTGTTACATTCATGCTACCGGCAGATTATAACATGTTTGTGGAAGAATTTAGGAAGAATCCAAACAGCACCTGGATCATGAAACCTTGCGGAAAGGCTCAAGGAAGGGGAATATTTCTCATCAACAAGCTCTCACAAATCAAAAAATGGTCTCGTGACAACAAAGCCTCTAAGTGAGTATAGAAATAAATGTAACTCTGATAGTTAATCAGCTTTGTGGGAACTTAGGGAGAGGTATTGATTGAAATATACCAAAATAAGATGCAGCAGATTTGGTGCATTCACATTCCGGGAGTTGCGCTTACAATGCATTGAAATAGCTTAGAGCAATCTGTTTAGGATATACTTGCTGGCAGAACAGCTGGGCCTGGGAAATGAGAAACATTTCAGCCTGGAATGTTGAAACTTTGTCCATCAACTACTGGAGCTAGAAGATAATTTTACAAAAACATTGTTTGGCTTTTCTTTTTCTCTGTAGACAATGTTAGACTTCTCATAGACTATACAGAACTATGAGATCTCGGGATATCTTTCCCCACCCAGGGTGATAGGAACATTGAACCATTAATGGGATTCTCAATGGACAACGATTTCCTTGACATTATAATGAAAGAGAAACAAGAGCGGGAGAAGATAGTGGAAAGAGAGGATAGTGGAAAAAGATGTCAAATGCCACATGAAAAGCACAAAGCCTTCAATGCTTTATCATCCCATTACCCTCCCATGCCTTGCCAAGGAAGTTATAGAGACACATGGCCTAAAAGGCTTGATGAGAATTCATGTTTGAAGAAAGTTAGTAAGAACACAATAGGGAAACTGAATCAGCTACAACACATTGACTTGCATCTACAATTGTTTGTTTGTACTTTCCATTGTTCTTGTGGCTCTGCCAATTACATTTCCCTTCAATTTCTACCAAAAAAGTTGCTTGCAGCCATTGATAACTATTTCCTCTGCCTCATTACATTGCACCATTTCTAACCCAACAAATTGAAATTGTTTCTCCCCATTCACCTTTTCAATAAAAACTAATATATTTATATATCTCTGTCTGATTGTCTCTTAACCTTTTTTGTGCTAATGAATAAAGGCCCCCTTTTCTCCAATATGTCCCCATAACTAAAGGATGTCATTCTGATATTTGTTTGTTAGAGTCTTCCCATGGCTTTGGAATGCTTCCTTAATTAAGGTGGCCAATTGGCTCAATGATCCTGATATTGCTCTCTTTTCTTTGCCCAGTGACCCAATAGATAAACTGTTCATTTTATAGGCGGTGTTACTGGTATGGCTCAGTCACATTCTAGAACAGATATGCACTTGGAAATGGTGGCAGAAACACATGCACTTCAAAGGACTGAAAATGGAGAATTGCAGATACAATGCCCAAAGTTTTGCTGGAGTCCTTTAAAGTAAATGTCAGATTTATCTTTTTAATCCCCTTCACTTACTTTGTGGCCTCCTCAGCCTCTCCAGTTGAGGGGATTCTCGATGCAAGGCCCACCACTAGCAACTTAGGGCGTTCATTTCTTTGATGTTCATTTCTTTTCCAGTTTTCTGACTACCCCTTGCAAGGAAACTTATGTCATCTCCCTCTACATAGACAATCCATTACTAATTGGTGGGAAGAAGTTTGACCTCCGTTTCTATGTGCTAGTGACCTCAATTCGTCCATTAAAATGTTACATGTAAGTTAAATTGATTTCAAAGCTTAATAACTTTATTTTTAGATGATACTGCAGCTTATTTGCTTTGAGCCACAGATGCGTCTACAGAGGGCACCTCTATTGAACACAGACAATGATGAGATATTTACTTCATATAAATCTGTTGCTAATGTTGAGCTACAGATATCTAATAATGCAAAATAGTAGTGGTCTCAAGTATAGAAACTGTGGGAATTAATTCTAACTCTCTCTCAAACCCTTTGAAGTGGTGAGTGGGAGGACTAACCTTAACTGCTTGATCACAGCCAAGTGAACTGTATGAATAGGCCATCAAAGGTCAAAGGCAATTTAAAAATACCATTCTTAAGTGGGATTCTTGTGAGCAAGAAGAGGCAGAAGTGCTTCCTGCGGCAAAAAATAATACCTGTGTCTACAGCTCCTGGAGCAAAGTATTAGAATGTAACTTTAACTTTGCACTTGTGAATTTCAGCCAGGTATTGTTTACATGTTTTCTGTTGATACCAAAGATCGCAGGGGTGACAAGCTTGACTTCTTTCCTATGTGGTTCCAGACTTTCTACTTGATCATTGTTTTGTGCATTGAAAATTTATCTTTTAAAAATATTTTTTCTAGGTATAAACTGGGTTTTTGTCGCTTCTGCACTGTCAAATACACTCCAAGTACCAATGAACTAGACAACATGTTTGTGCATCTTACAAATGTAGCCATACAGAAACATGGGGTAAGATCTGGTTGCAATAACAAGAAGAATCACAATGCAAGTCCTGTGGGAGAGTTCTGGGTCATGTGTGTGAACTTCCTCCTCAACTCTCAATATTGCAGAAAATCTTCCAGTGGCAGTTTTGATCCATGCCAAAATCCGAAGCTATTGAGCAAGTGATCTGGATTATCCTAGAAAAGTCAGAAAACTTGCACGGTCGACTTTTTTTTATATTTATAATTACAAGACTGTAGTATGACATTAAATGGAGAGTAAAGTATAACTTTATATCTGCGATATCCACAACTGAACTCTTGACCTAGCAAAAAGCCCAGAAGTTCTCCACAGGCAAGGAGACAAATTTGTATAGTTTCAATTGACTGGAATGAGGACTGCAGATTGCTCATTAAAAATAATAAGCTAATTTGCTAAGCCCCATCTTAACTATCAAGGTTATATCCTAGGAACGCTGCCCATTTTTAAAAAAAAAATCCAAGGCCATGGGATAACACCGTGTGGAGCTGGATGAACACAGTGGGCCAGGCAGCATCAGAGGAGCAGGAAAGCTGACGTTTCGGGTCGGGACCCTTCTTCAGAAACTCCCAACCCAAAACGTCAGCTTTCCTGCTCCTCTGATGTTGCCTGACCTGCTGTGTTCCTCCAGCTCCACACTGTGTTATCTCAGACTCCAGCATCGGCAGTTCTCACTATCTCATTCAGGGACATGGGCTTTGCTGGCTGAGCCAGCATTTATTGCCCATCTGCAGTTGCAAAGATAGTGGTGAGCTGCCTTCTTGAACCACTGCATCATCTCAGCTCTGGGACATTTCTGTAGGAGTTCCTTTGGGTAGGCTTCTATGCCCAACCATCTTCATAGCTTTCATCAAAGACCTTCCCTATGTTACACCAGTATTCCATCACACTTTTGACTTGTGCCATGTACATGATGGCCAAGCTTTGGGAAGTCAAGAGTTATTTTCTGCACCATTCCAAGCCACTGACCTACTCTAGTACGTATAATATTTCTGTGGCTAGTCCAGATAAGTTTCTGGTCAATGGTTTTTGATAATGGGGGTTTCAGTGATCATATTGTCGTTGAATGTCAAGTGGCAATGGTTAGATTCTTTCTTGTTAGAGATGGCCATTGCCTGACACGTGTGGTGCGAATATTACTTACCACTTGTCGGACTATGCCTGGATATTATCTGCATTTGACATGGAATGCTCCAGTATCTGAGGAGTTATGAATGGTGCTGAATGTTATGCAATCAATAATGAGCATCCCCATTTCTGACCTTATGATGGAGAGTAGGTCTTTGATGAAGTAGCTGAAGATGGATGGATCTAGGATACTATACTGAGGAACTCCTGTGGAGATGTCCTAGGGCTGGGATGAATGACCTCCAACAACGTTTGTGCTAAGTATGAGTCCAACTGGTGATGACTTTTCCCCTGGTTCCTGCTGACTATAGTTTTACCAGATCTCCTGAATTCCCCACGGACTATAGCAGCTCAAGAAGGCAGCTCACCACACCTTCTCAAGGGCAACTAGGGGCACGCAATAAATGCTGACCAGCCAGCAACATCCATATCTCACAAGTGGGTTTTCTAATATGTTCAGTTAGTCAAATGCCATCTTGATGTCAAGGGCAGACACTCTTACCTCACCCCACCTCTGGAGTTCAGCTGTTTTATTCATGTTTAAATCAAGATTGTAATGAGTTCAGGAGCTGAGTGGGACTAGCAGAACCCAAACTGAACATCCATGAGTAGGCTATTGCTATTGCTATTACTATTGCAGATTCCGCTTGATAACACTTGATGTTACCTCACTTCACTGATGATCGAGAATAGAATCATGGGTCAGTACTTGGCAGTGTAGAACCTGTCCTGTTTTTGTGTACAGGCTATACCAAGGTAGTTTTTCACATTGTTGGGTAGATGCCAATGTACTTGAACAGCTCGGCTATGGCACAGCAAATTCTGGAACAGAAGTCTTCAGAACTATTGCCAGAATGTTGTCAGGGCCTGTACCTTTGCAGTATCCCATGTCCTTTCATTACTTGATATCACGTGAACTGAATGGCCATCTGTGATGCTGGGGCTATGTTGAAGAGGCCGAGATGGATCTCATCCATTTGACCCTTCTGGCTGAAAATTGTTGCAAATGCTTCTGCCCTATTTTTTGCACTGATGTACAGAGCTTTCCCAGTCATCGAGGAGTGGATATTTAGGGAGCTTCCTCCTCCAGTGAGTTTTTTAATTGCCCACTACCATTCATGATTGGTGGATGTAGCAAGACTGCTGAGCTTAGTTCTGATCCATTGCTTGTGGGATCACTTAGCCCTGTCTATCACATACTTCTTAAGCCATTTGTCATGTAAGTATTCCTGTGTTGTAGCTTCACCAGGTTGACACCTCATATTTAAATATGTCTGGTGCTGCTCCTGGCATACCCTGCTGCTCTCTTCATTGAATCAGAGATGATCCCATGGCTTGATGCTAAATGATAGAGTGGGGGGATATGCAGGTTGTGGTTGAGGTTGCAGATTGTGTTTGAATGCAGTTCTGCTGTTGCTGATGGCCCACAGCGCCTTGTGGATGGTCAACCCTGAGTTGTTAAATTTGTTGCACGTCTATCCTATGCTGAAAGTGCTTTACAAAATGACAGAACGTATCCTCAAAGGGAGATGGGATTTCGTTTCTCGGGAACTGTGCAGTGGTAACTCCGACTGATACCGTCATGGACAGAAGCAGATTTTTGTAGATGAGATCATGTATGTTTTACCCTCTTATTGGCTCATTCATCACCTACCACAGACCCAGTCTAACAGTTATGTTCTTTAGGTCTTGACCAGCTTGGTCAGTAATGGTACTGTCGAGTCACTCTTTGAGATGGACATTGAAGTTTTCCATCCCGAGTATATTCGGCATCCTTTCCAAGCTCTGTGATTCCTCCAACTGGTGCACACATGCTTATGTTTACGGAGCTAGCTCATGTGCCAGGACAAATTGTAAGCCTCCAGCCACAGCACAAACTCAAGCTCTTTAACTTCTCTCCATTTCCCCTTGTGTTGTGTTCTTGAGCCAGAATTTTTCTTCGAGCTGAGGAAGCTGCTTTAAACCTCTTCCAAAACATCTCAAAAATAGTAACCTGGAGCAACTACTTCTAAATCCTACTTCATACACTGGAATAAGCGGAATTGGATTGCTGCAGGTCATGATGAGATCAGGGATGCATCAGATCACATGCTTTAAATTCCATTGTGCTACCCAAAATTCTTCTGTGAATTTTGTTTTCATGGAAGTGAGGAGCATGCATACCAGAGAACAGGATTGACTTCCAATCTTTGGTCTGATATAAGACACAGTATAGATGAGAAGAAATATAAATTTCTCCCAATCTCTGATGACTGTAACTGCTTCACAGTAAAATTTCCTTTACCCATCCCACCATTGCTGGTTTCTCTGAACACAATTATCGATTGTAATGGGTAATTTTATCAGAGAAATTCATGGGTTTTGCAAGCTATCTTGAAATCTTATCATGACCAATAACAAAGTTGCCTAAAATATATGCTATTTTTAAAGGATGACTACAATCCCATTCATGGTGGAAAATGGAGTGTGGCAAATTTGAAACTCTATTTGGAGAGCACACAAGGCAAGAAGGTTACTGATAAACTTTTTGATGAAATCCACTGGATGATTGTACAATCACTCAAAGCTGTAGCTGTGAGTATAACTTTGAGACTTGGTGGCTATCCAGTAGAGGAAAATGGTGTGAAAAAAACGATGAAAAGGATACTGGAATGTAACCAAATCTGGAGGAATTTTAACCCCCAAAGAGTGTGTCGATTTGGGTCGGGTGACGTTTGAATATCTTTTAAAGATTAAACTTGAATGTAATCAGCTTCTAATTCAATAACATCTGATTCAGATAGAGGCAAGACAAGGGCAGGAAATCAAGCCACAGTCCATCTCATGCAGATATACACACAGTGCCATTAGGGAGGAGTCCCAGGTATTTTACCCTCAGCCTGGTGAGTTGTGGTTCTAGGAAGTCACTGTTAGTGAACAACATTTGGAAGAATCGCTGAGGGTAGCAAGAACTTAGAATGTACTCTGGAAGGGATAATTCAATGTCCATCTCCAAGAGTCGTTCAGTGCCACAAGTATTGACTAAGCTAGCTGAAATTTTAGGATAGAAAATATAGACATAGCTTGTCTTATCGTAATTATGGAGCCCTGTATTAATTGGAGTAACTTTATTGTCCTTTTCCCAAAGCTATATGGTGACAAGAAACTTAAAAGCACTGTGTTTTTCTGCTTCTATATGCCATTGTTGGAGACAGAATCTATTGCACTGCCATAACATCACTCAACCTCATCTCACTGTCATCCTGATTGTTTCTCCAAGTGTGTTAAAACATGGCTTCTTCCATCTTGAAATTTCTTTCTATTAACGGTAAATTGGTCTTCAAAAAAGATTTTTGTCTTTAAAATGCAAATTGTGATAATTTTCAGAGATAAGGCACTGTCATCAGTCATATCTGGTGTGACAACCCATGTCTATTATGAGATAACCTGATACTTCCTCCTATAAATAGTTCACAAATAGAAGTCAAATTATCCTTTCTCCCTTGAGTAATTGATGAATCCTCGATTCCCTAAAATATAACTAAATCAAATGCCAGTCAATGTTTTGAGTGTTTCTAAACATTTTACGCAAAAGTACTTGATGCCTTCATCCTCGGGCTTCCTAACCTTTGTTTATTAACTATTAATTGTTGTATGGTGAAGCGATCTCCATTTAATGGTAAGGCTTGCATAAAATACAGAAAATATCTTATGTGTGAATTGTTACCTGCCTTCTTGCCTAGTCATTCATGTGACATTTAATCTTATTATTTTTATTTTGCAGCCAGTCATGATCAATGATAAACACTGCTTTGAATGTTATGGCTATGATATAATAATTGATAGCAGACTGAAACCTTGGCTTATTGAGGTAAATAACATTAGATAACTGAAGATTGATAGTGTTTTTACACTATTCAATGATTTGTAACTGCTTTATTAGCTGATCAATTAGTTTGCTGAGAAAAAATATGGACATTGAATTATAATGTTGCATATTATGTAATGAAACAAACTTGTTTCTACTCCACAATCAGAATCACAGTGGTCTCTGACTTGTTTGAGAATCCAAATCACCTTATTAGGAGGAGTTTAAGGGAGGAGCAAGACAGGACACAAGTGGACATTATGATTTGCCCTTTTTGTCAGTCTCATTCTGATCCCTGGGTTGATCAGCATTACGGGAGGCTAAGAAATCCTTTCCTTTGGTCCCATCTGTTCAGACATGAGGCATGTTTGGACAGGGAGAAACAAATGGAACTCAATGGCTTATGAATTGGATTGAGTTTCAACATATCCAGGTCCCAACTTTGTTTTATTTCCATCTGCTAGACTCTGGCTGACTTAGGCACGAGAGTGCATTACTGGGGTGATGGAAATACAAAAGTGCTAGTGAAGTGCTACATTATATTTATCAATTAAATGTTAAATGAGTTTCCATACATCTGGGCAGGTGGAAGAAAAAGATCTTGTGGGAGAATTTGTAAAGAGCCATTTTTGGGCGTTAACTATACCTTCATGTCCAAATTAGCAGAACATGCATCAAAGCAGTCTGAGAGCATCAATAATGTCAAGATTAATCTACTTTGCATGCTTTCAGTCATGCGTGGTACCCACATACAAGTGTCATGCCAGTCAGGACATGCCACATAGAGGTGACTAGAAGCATTCTTACCACTGTTATTTGTTTTGGGACTTCCATAGAGACTAAATTGGTGGTGCTACAAAGACATTTGAAAAATAATGAGGCATCATTTCACATAAAAAATAGTATTGAAAATACAGGATTTACATTTAAAAGAGAGGGTACATGTCTAAATATGGTGCAGGAGCAGAGGGATAAGGTTTAAATGTGCACAGATCATTGAATGTGGAGAGAGCAATTAGTAAAGCATACAGTATCCTCGGACTCCTGAAGTGCAGTAGTAAAGTCCCTACCTCTGAGTCACAAGAACTCAGTTCAAGTCCCACCTGCTCCAGAGGTGTGGGATACCATCTCTGAACAGGTTGTTTAGCAAAAACTTACAGAACTCTTGGCTTTAATTATGGGTATAGAGTACAAAACCAAAGAGGTGATGTTGATTAAACTTTTTAGACCCCAGCTGGCGTAATGTTACAGTTCTAGATGCCACATTATAGGAATTGTCACATTGGAGGGGACAGTGCAAAGTGATTTACAAGAATGGTTGGGTCCAGGGATGAGAAACTTCAGTTGTGAAGAAAGATTAAAGAAGTTGGAATTCTGTTCCTGGTTGAGCAGAAGGATAAGAACACATATGATAGAGGTTTTCAAAATCATGAGCGGGCTGTATAGACTAGATGTGAGAATCTGTTCCTGCTTGTGTAAGGAATAAGAGTGAGAGGGCATAGTTTTAAAGTGATATGCAAAATGTGCATGGGTGTTATGAGAAAAAAATGTTTTCATTCAAAGAGTAGTTAGGGAATGGGATGCACTGCCTGGGAGTGTGATGAAGGCAGGTTCAATTGGGGTATTCAAGAGGGCATTGGACAATTATTTGGATAAAAATTAGATGTAAACATACGGGGGAACAAAATAAGATATTGGCACTTGGTAATTATGCTCATTCAAAAAGCTGGCGCTGGCACAATGGGCCAAATGGCCTCTTTCTGTGCTGTAAGATCTCTGTGCGATACATTATTGTTATCCATGCAACTACACTCTGATATGAGTTATGTTCAAAAGAGGGGAAGTAGAGAAGAGGAGTGGGAGAAGAGAGAGTAAACTGTGGTAGCAGTGTATTAGGAGCAGTCTTAATGGAAAAGCATATATCCATTTGAAAGCTGTATCGAGTCTGATTTGCCAGGACAGCGATATTTGGAATTTTGGTAATTAGTAATCACTTCTGTCATCTTCCCTGATTATTTGCAAACCTCGCCCCACCCCTCCCCCTCCAAAGCAAAGTCTGTACAGCTGACCACATACCTGAGCTGTGCTTGCCCACAGTGACACATCACTCACACTGTTCAATATCCCCACACCAGTGAACAGAATTTACTTATCCTTTCATGGGATGTGAGTGTCCATGGCAATGCCAGTATTTGTTGACCATCCCTAACTATTATTGAACTGAGTGGCTTGCACATAAAGTACTGTGTATAATTTTTGTCTCCTTCTTTAGGGAGGAATAAATGTCCATAGAAGCAATTCAGAGAAGGGTCGGGAGGATGATTTGTAGGATAAAAGGATTGTTTTTTGAGGAAAAGATAAGCAGGTTGGGCATTTACATTTTGGTACTTAAAAGAATAAAAGGTGTTAGCGAGCCAGACCAAATCAGACTCGTTAACACAGATTCACAACACGGAGAAATTAAATTATATAATGCTATGACTCTATGACCCTCAAAATTGCTCAATGGTCCCTAACCAGACTTTACAAATAACTAATCTTGGACATCGGGTTTATATCTTAAACAAAAATTAACTTATTAATAACGTAACTTTAGCAGGATGCAGATTAACTAACAACAGCTATGATCTAAACCCAATCTTTTTTGATAGCTAACCTGCACTCTCACACCAATGGATGGATAAACAGTGTTAAAGGATAAATTTGTTAAAAAAGTAAAAGAATCATAAGTTGCCAGTTCAATAACAATTTCAATGATGAATACCAAGTCCTCATGAAATCCAATGGGTTTTATTACAGGCAGGTAGGATTGTAACTTGTTTGAATTCTGAAATCACCGATCAATGCAAACCGATTTGGCAGACCTCAGGAGACATTTCCTTATTTCTTATAGAGTGCGGTTCTTTTCTCAGGACTTTCAACGACTTGATAACCGGAGAATAACTATGGAGGGTAAAGCCAAATAACCTTGCTCAGCAGCTTCCAAAGCAGCACTCTGCCTCCTGCACAAAAACCCAGTCAAAAATCAGTTCATCCTTTTATTTCTCTTCCTTTTTTAACATTCCCTGTGGTTTCCTGGCTGGTACCGATTTTCCCTTGATTGACCAATTTAGTATCCAACCAGCTGCCAGTTCCTGAGCAAAACAATATCTTGGGCCAGTTTGCCTATAATGTTCTTTACCTGCATTATCTTTCCAGGCCAGATCCCACAGCAATCTTCAATCACTTTTCTCTCCTGTTTAAAAAAATACCAGCTGTTGGTCAAAGTTCAAAATTCAGTTTTCAACTGCAACTCACAGTTCTAAACCAAAAATGAGAAAAATAAAAGAAAAATAATGCTGGTCTCAACATCAAGATGGATCCAAAAATACCAAATTCAAAGGGAACAACAATTTTTACTGAATGATAAGCAAGGTGCAGATTGGTTAGCAAATGGATCGTATTTGTTTAACTTGCTGCTATGGAGATTGCACCTTGGAACAGTTATTTCAAGGATTTTGGTTAAATTCTAAAAAGGGATGTTGACTTTAATTGATAAAATGTGTCATGGGAAATGAAAGGTGCAAGATGAAAAGCTTCTGCGGCATGTCTTTTTCTTCAACAATGCTCAAATTCTGTACCACCAAATGACTATTTATATAAGATTCTTGAAAGGCTTATCAAGATAGCTGCTGAGAGGATGCTTCCCCTTGTGGAGGAATCAGGAACTCGGGGGCACAGTTTAAAACTAATAGATCTCCCTTTAAGATGGGGATGAAGGAGAATTTCTTCTCCAGAGCGCAGGGGAGATTAACTTATTGAATATATTCAAGGTTGAGTTTGAACACATTTTTTTGTTGACAAGGGAATCAAGGGCTGTCAGGGACAGGCAGGAAAGTGCAATTAAGGCTACAGTCAGATTAGCCATGAGCTTACTAAATGTTGGAAAAGGCTTAACATGTCATATGACCTATTCCTGGTCATAGTTTTTGATGATCTTTTGCCTGTCTTGTGGTTGCATTTGCCTAACCTAATGCTGCTACACAATGTTATCCCAATGGCTGCAACATGGTTGATGGAAGGCTGCTGACGTTACTGGAGGAGATTGCACAAAGATTTATAGAATGATCTTGAACTGCTACTCCCTGGAGTTAATGCCTCAGCAATCCTTGTAATTTACTGTCACACAGATTGAGGAATACTTACAAGCACTTTATCCACAGACACGATGGCAGCAGTCCGAGCCTGCATGGTACCGATCTGGGCTTGCATGGCAATAAGCATGGATGGCATGGCCTCTTTCTGAGCTTCGACTACAGTGGGACAATGTGCGGAATTTAGTCGAGGAGACACGAGTCTTATTGGCAGGATTCCTGAGCTGGCAAGAAAGTGCTGGTCAACTGCAACACGCATGGTCAGCCCATCCCCAGGGAAAGGCTCTTTTGCTGCTCTCACTGATAATTGTGCTTCTAGTCCCTTGAGGTCGCTCATTTCATGCATCAAACATTGCAATCCCCATTAAAAACTAAAGGCTGTGTTATATTTTTTGTAGAAAGTAAAGCTTTAATCTTGTTCCATACTCGGGGTGCAGTAGGTAAGCAGTAATCCCTTCAGCAGTACTCCAGCCCTCTCTCTGATCTGTGTACTCCAACATTAGAAATTCTATATATTGTAGTTCAGTGACAGTGAGCAGCTCAGATATTGGCACAACTTCTACTTTAGAGAGTAGTGTGGACACACATCATCTGGTGAGCCATTGGCGCAAGTGAATTCCAAATGCACGAATTGCGTGACATCATTGCATTTGCAACAGTACCGTCACCTGCTCTGGTTATCAATATTCTTTGAATTGACTGTGGTAGGTACTTGCTTCAATACTATTCATAATGTAGGTCCTGCAGGCCTCTTAAACAACTGTAGAAATTTGACATCACTCCTCCGTTCCACCCCTTGAAGGCCTTCAGTGCCACATCAAAAAACTTGGGAGCCATTTCTCTGGCCTGCTGCTTCATTGACATTTATACCTTGCAAAGAAAAATTTTGCAAAAAAGTTCTATCACCTGCTGCACGTTCCATTTAAGTGTGCAGTCTAGTTCTAAAAAAGGCAGGGTAGCTTTAATTTGTGTTAGAATCATAGAATCCATTCAGTATGGAAGCAGGTCATTTGGCCCATCGATTCCCCACCCAGATCCACCCCTCTACCCTATCCCTGTAACCCTGCATTTCCCATGGCTAATCCACCTAGCCTGCATTTCACTAGGCACTATGGGCAATTTAACATGGCCGATCCATCTTTGGACAGTGGGAGGAAATATGTGGAAAACACAGAAACATGTGGAAAACACACACACACACAAACAATGTTTAGCTATGAGCAGGAAACTTGAAGTTTCGTTGTTTCCTAAATCACCTGAATCAAGTACAGTGTAATAATTCATCATACTTCCCATGCTCAGTTTAGTCCTGTATGTTGCAAGTAGTTTTATTCTTGTAAAATGGTTTCTTCCCTGATATAGGTGAATGCTTCTCCTTCATTGGCATCCAGCACAGCTAATGACCGAATCATGAAATACAATCTCATCAATGACACGTTAAATATTGTTGTACCTAATGGCGAGATCCCAGATTGTAAACTGAGCAAAAATCCATCCAAAGGAGCTCTTGGAAATTATGTCATCCTGTAAGTTATTCACAAATAAAAATCTAAAATGTTGGATTTCTTATGTGAAAATTTTAATGAAATAATAACTGCCACAAAACTTTTCAAGAGAAAATACAGAATAGGTAAGTGTGTTGAATTGAATCATTTATTGTCACGTGTATTTAAAGTAAAAATACAGTGAAAGGTGTGTACCTTTGCCATACATACATGGCACCATTCATGTTAACTTAGAATAAGATAAGAAAGAAAAGATAACTTAAGAGAGTCCAACTTTCCTTTCCACTGCTGCCGTCCTGCTCAGGGCTTTCCAGCTCTCGCCATGCCGCTGTCAGCATCCCGCTCTGGGCTGCCTCATTGGCCCGATCTCACCGCTGCTGCCTCACCCACCCGCTCTCGCTATTGCTGCCTCACCAGCCCGCTCTAGCCGCTGTCGCTCCAGCCCACACTCAATTCGACATCGCTGCAGGACACAACCTGTACGTTCAGCTTCAGCCACTTGGTTCCTGGTCATGACCCAGCTCCTTCCTGACTCCTTAGGTAGGTAGTTAAAAGGGGTGGGACAGGGTTAAAATTACTACAGAATGAGAGAGAAGAAGGGAGAAAAAGAAAGGAAGGACTAAGAAAGAAAGAGAAAGAGAACTGGCGAGCAGAGTGGAGCTCTGAATGGAGCGACTGACCCTGCCACCATCTTGATTTGTCATTTATACACTCTGAGATAGAGCTTGAAAATCCAAGCCAGTTCTATTTAATTTTTGTTGAACATTCTTTGTATACAATTCAAATATTGCCTTGCTTAGTAGATATTGGGGAAAGCTTTTACGAGAAAATCTGACTTGATTTTGAAAAAGTGGAGGTGGTGGCATACTAGGCATGCCATTAGACTGGTAATCTAGGTTTCTTGAATGCAGTCAGCTGGAGTATACATTGTACTCATCTTAAAGTTATTTGTTCCTGATGCTTGGTTAAATGATTTCTTGGATGCTTCTTGTCTGTGGTTGTTTCCATTATGACTGGGTCCCAAAATGCTCGCAGAACGACCCTTGAAATGCTGATTCCAGTGTGTACTTCCAGTAGGTTACTTCAGGTTTCTCGCAGTCTATGTCAAAGATCAGTACTTTGCACTTGTTAATGTCTTCCTGACACTGTAATAGTTTTCATTGGGTCTGGGTTGTAGGGAGTCTCTCTTTTGGTAACCCACCTCCCCTGGAGCAAATCAGCTCCATCTTGAGGTGGATTTGCGTTTATAAGCAGTTTACCTTGTCTCAGTCAAATTTGCAACAGTTCCAGCCAGTTGAAAGTTTTTAAAAGTAATTGCTTCAAATAAAGGAATATAACCTTGTAACATTCTTATATTATTCCAATCAAGATGTGTAATGATGATAATATTATGGCCATATCCAGTTCAAATTTGCATACATTAGTGTTAGACAACATTGAATTGGATCCCCCACTGACCGGTGCCTGTTAGGAATTCAATGATTGCCAACAGCATTGACAGAACATCGATTTTTGATTGTCACTAAAGGAATATCAACACTGACAAGCACTGAGATTAATCTAAAGCAAGAGACATTTTACATTTAACTTGTACTTATACAGCATTGTTAATAGAGAACAACAAAGTACTTCACAAAGGAGAAAAATAATTCCAAATGGCAGTGGGAGAAAAGTTGGGAAGATTGACCAGAGATATTATCAAGAGGGCCAGTTCTGGCATTTATCGGGAACATTCCAGAATATGAGGCCAAAATAGTCAAAAATGGGAAAGAGGGAAAAGGAATGCACAAGAGGCCAGAACAAAGGACATGTACTTATATGCAGGACTGTAGGAGATTGCACAGGTAGGAAGGATCAATGATGGGATTCGTAAATCAAGACAGACATTTGAATTCAAGATTTTGTGAAAGGAAACCAAGGGATTAAGGCAGTGCAAAACAAAGTGTTGATTTAATTGTAGTTTACGCAGGATAGAACTTGGAAAGGTGAGAGGAAAAGTATTTGAGTGTTATGGAATGAAGGCTTAAGACCATAAGATCACAAGACCATTAGAAGTAGGAACAGGAATAGGCTGATCAGCCCTCAAGTCTGCTCTGCCATTCAGTAAGCTCATGGCTGATCCAACATTCCTCTCGTCTACTATCCTGCCATTTCTCAACCCTTGATTCCCTTACTGTTCACGAATCTATCTATCTCAGCCTTAAACACACACAAGGATTCTGCTCCCACAACTCTCTGTGGCAAGGACTTCCAAAGTCTCACAACCCTCTGAGAGAAGAAATTCCTCATCTCAATCATAAACTGGCAACCCATTATTCTGAGACAATGCTCCTTGTCCTAAACTTTCCCATGAGGGCAAACATCCTCTCAGCATTTACTCTGTCAAGCCCCTTAAGAATCCAAATGTTTCAATGAGATCACCTCTCATTCTTTTTAAACTCCAATGAGTTTACCTTTGCTCATAAGACAATCCCTCCATACCAGGGATCATCCTAGTGAACTGCCTCCAATAAAATTATATCTTTCCATAAAAAAGAGGACGTCAACTGCTGATAGTTGTGGTCTCACCAGCACCTTGTACAGTTGCAGTAAGACTTCCCTACTCTTATAGCCCAACCTCCTTGAATTAAGGGCCAACATTCCATAGCCTTCCTGATTACCTGCTGCACCGTGTACTAGCTTTCTGTATTTCATGTATAAGTATCCCCAAGTTCCTTTGTGTTGCAGCTTTCTGCAGTTTTTCTCCGTTTAATTAATACTCTTTTCCTTTGTTATCCCTTCTAAAATGAACAACCTCATATTTTCCCACATTATATTCCATTCACTAATTTTTTTCCCAATCACTTAACCTATTAATACCTCTCTGTAAACCGTTTGTATCCCTCTCACAGGCTGCCTTTCCACCTATTTTTGTGTTGTCTGCAAATTTGGCTAAGTATATTCACTTCTTTCCTCCAAGTCATTGATATATATTAAAAACAGTTGTGATCCCTGCAGAGCCCCACTGGTCACAGGTCACCAACCTGAAAAAGAACCTCTTATCCCCACTTGTTGCTTTGTGCCCATTAGCCAATTCTCTAGCCATGCCAATATACTGTCTCCAGCACCATTGGTTCTTATTTTATGACTTAACCTTTTGTGAGAAATCTTGTTGAACACCTTCTGGAAGTCAACGTACAACATATCTCCTGGTTCTTCTTTATCCACTCTGTTTGAGACTTCCTTGAAAAACTCTAATAAATTAGTCAAACATGATTTTGCTTTCATCAAATTATGCTGACTCTGCTTGATTAGATAATTATTTTCCAACTGTGCTACTATTATCTCCTTAATAGATTCTTCCAACAATAGATGTTAGACTAATTGACCTATAGTTACCTGATTTTTGTCTCCTTTCCTTTTTAAATAGGGGTATCACATTAGCAGTTTTCCAATCCTCTGGTCCTTCTCCAGAATCCAATGTTTTTTGAAAAAGTGCAACCAATGCATCTACTATCTCTGTAGATATCTCTTTGGATCCTAGGATGCAAGCCATCAAGGCCAGGAGACTTATCTTCCATTAGCCCCAATAGTTTGTCTAATACAACTTCTCTAGTGAAGATGTTGGTGTTTAATTCCTCCCCCATATTCTTTAGTATTAACAGGATGTTCAAAATATCTTACATTGTAAAGACTGATGCAATTCTGTTTAACTCGTCTGCCATTTCCTTGTTCTACAGAACTGTTTCCCTGACTTGTTTTATAAGAACAGAAGTTACTGGAAAAGCTCAACAAGTCTGGCAGCATCTGTGAAGAAAAAATCAGAGGTAATATTTCGGAGGAAGGGTCACCGGACCCGAAATGTTAACTCTGATTTTTTTTCACAGATGCTGCCAGACCTGCTGAGCTTTTCCAGCAACTTCTGTTTTTGTTCCTGACTTACAGCGTCCGCAGTTCTTTTGGTTTTCATTTTATAAGGCCCCATTGTTCACCTTGACCTTTGCCCTAAATGGAAGGTTCAGTTTCAGTAGGTATGACGAAAGTGTAGAAATCAACAGTATTATTGGAGGTAGAAACAGACATCTTGGTATGGATAACATGTGGGATTTGAAGTTCAAGGTCAAATAGGACACTGAGGGTGCACAAAGTTGACTTCAACCTGAACCAGAGAAGGATCAGAGTCATGCTGACAATTTATGTAAACCAAAGCAAAATCATGTTTGACTAATTTTTTAGATTTTTTCAAGGAAATCTCCACCAGAGTTTGGGGCTAAGGTGTGAAATTTTTTGTGAGAACCATGCAGGATGGCTGCTGGTTGGTCAGTATTAGGTAATAGCCATTGAATCAATAGTGTTCGGAAGAAGCATATTTGATGTGAAATGTGAACTCTGTTTTTCTCTTAACAAATGCTGTCAAATCTGCTGAGTACTTCCAGCACTTTGTGTTTTTATTAACCTAAGATAGTGGTAAGAGAGAGAGAGAGCCGGATGTCACCCTGATCAAGAAAAACAGTCTAGACTCTGACACTGACAGACACAGTGTCTATAAGCACTTTTTAGAATGATGCTATTTGCCCGGAAGAGGATGGAAACAGGTCTCTTGATATGTTTATCTCAAGATTGTAGCTCTACAAATTGTTCAATGACACCAACGGATTTAAAAGGAAAAATCCATGGTTCAATAGCATTTCAAAGGTTTCCCTGATTTAATTCTTCTACCTTTTATTAAATTTGCTTTGTTTTGAAAACACATACATAGCAGTCAATGTGTTACCATAACATTATACTAAAAGCACAATGCACGTATGAAAAATATAAAAACTGATAAACTTTCAACTAAACAAATAGCTGTTTTAAATCTGAAAGATGATCTATTTAAATCAAATTCATCAGTTTTGTTTTTGCTTCTTTGTCAGCTATGATGAAGAATTAGCTGTGATTGAAGGAGTTGACCGTGACTTGAAAAATCGCCCAGGTCAGTCCTTTCGTTCAAAAGTTGGACGAGCAAAAGATTTTGGACGACCTATCAGCATGAATTGGAAATAATATTTTAAAAAATGGAAAAAAAACAGTTAAACTGCATCAATGCTGTTTTAACTGTGCAAAATGAATGATGAAAAGTGATTTGCTGTTTGCAATTTTTTACACTATTCACTGAGTTTTTTTTTTGTCTGGCAGTAATTCAGGTTGATCTCTCTTTTTACCTACCTTGTCTTTTCCTGATAATATCTTGATGACTTTGATCAGATTACCCCATAATCTTCTAAACTCTATAGAAAAAAACAGGTCTAATTTGTATAACCTCTCTTCATAACTTAACCCCTATGAAGTCCAGGTATCATTTATGTAAGCCAATGCTGTACTTCCTCCCCCCATATCCTTGCTAAGGTGTGGTGCCCAGATATGGTTATAGTACTCCAAATGGGGTCTAACCAGGGTTTTGTATAACAGCAGCATAACGTCTACATCCTTGTACTCCAGACCTCTAGACATAAAGGCCAACATTCCATTAATTCTTGCTTATTTTCTGCACCAGCTCATGACATTTTAATGGTCTATGCACCTGAAATCCCAAGTCTCTTTGGATATTCACTGTATTTAATTTCATACTATCTAGAAAATATCCTGATCTATCCTTTCTCAGTCCAAAATGGATAACCTCACACTTGCTTACATTGAACTCCTTCTGCCACATTTTTGCCCATTCACTTAGTCTATCAATAGCCCAATGTGATTTTATGCTATCATATACACTGTCAAAACTGCTGCCTAATTTTGTGTCACCAGCAAATTCTATGCCATCTTCCAAGGTGTTAATGAATAATGTGAATAATTCGGGCCATAACACAATTCCTGACAGGACACCGTTGGTCACATCCTGCCAATTTGAGTACCTATCCATTATCCTTATTTTCTGTTGCATGCCACTCAACCAGTTTCCAAGCCATGTCAATAACTTGCCCTCAATTTCTTGGGATTCTACATTAACTAACAGTCTCTAGTCTGGGACTTTATAAAGTGTCTTCTGGAGGTCCATATAAGCAACATCCATAGATATTCCCCTGTACACTACCTTAGTCATTTCTTCAAAAAATTACAATAGATTTGTCAGACATGACTTACCTGTCATGAATCCATGCTGGCTGTCCCTGATTTACTGAAATTTTCAAGGTGTTCAGTTACTGCTACCTTGATTGTAGTTGCCAACAATTTTTCCACCACAGATGTTAGGCTAACTGGTCAGTAATTCCCTAATTTATGTCTTTCTTAAAAAGCGGCATTCCATGTGCATTTTTCCAATTCAGAAGAACAATGCCTGTATCTAGGTAAATCTGAAAGATTATATTTGGGATGTCTATAGTGTGCTCCCCTAGTTGCTTTAGCACCTTCGATAGAAATTGTCAGGTCCCGGGATTTGTCACTCTTTTACAGTCCCTGTTCTGAATCCACTATTAATTCTAGGACTTCCAGAAAGCTATCCGCATTTTCTGCTGTAAATACTGAGGTAAAGTACTTATTCAATATGTCTGCCACTTTCCAGTAGTCATTACCAATATCCACACTTTCAGACTTTAGTGCTTTGCACCTGACCACCCGCTTTCTGTTTATGTATCCGTAAAATTGCTTGTTATTGATTTTGATGTCCCTGGCACGTTTCTTTTCATAATCCCTTTTAGTAGTTCTTATAAACTGCGTAGTGGCCCTATGCTGGTCTTTGTATCTTTGCCATACAGCTGGATCAATGTTTGCATTGTTTTTGCATTGTTGAAAGCCCTTTCTTTTAGTTTTATGCTGTCCTCTATCTCTTTAGTTGTCCACAAATTTTTTTTCTGTCAAGTGGAGCTTTTCCTTCTCAGGAGTTCAAGCTGGTTTTATATTGTGTTAACTGTTTCTTTAAACATCCTCTACTGTTCTTCAGTTGTTTACCCATCAGCATATTTTCCTAGTTTACTATGGACAGTCGCTGTCTCATCTTGTGAAAGTCAGCCTTAGCTAAACCTTAACACACTAGTAGCTGATTCATCCTTTTTGCTTTCAAACGCTACATTGAATTCAATCATATTATGATCACTACTGATAAATGTTCACCCAGAATTAGGTTCCTAATTAAACCCTTTTCATTACTAAATCCAATATTGCTAATCCCGTTGTTGCATCCAGCACACACTGCTGGAGGAATCTATCCTGGACACACTCCAGAATTTCATTACCTTTCTGACAGGTGCTTGTCTGCCTCTCCCAATCTATGTTAAAGTTAAACCCCCCTATTAATATGACACTAGCTTTGCTACACACTTGCTTAATTTCTGCACTTATACAATCTAGCACTTCAGAGTTGATACGCAACACCTATTACAGTTTTAGATCCTTTGCTGTTTGCTTTACTGTTTCTCAGCTCCTCCCACACGGTCTCCACAGAATGCTTTGCCCCTCTCACAATTAAAGTAATTTTATGTCTAATCCATATGGCTACTCCACCTCTTCCACTATTTTACCTGTCTGTCCTGTAAACCTTATAAAATGGTATATTTAGTTCCCAATCTGCAGCCATGTCCCAGTAATGGCTATTATATCATAATTTCTAGTTTGAATTTGTGCCTGCAGCTCATTTAGTTTATTCCTTATGCTCCATGCATTCGTATATAGAACACTGTAACTGATGCTTTATTCGCCTATTTATTATTTCTCTCTCTTTGTTTAATGAATACACTTCTTATAATATGCCATTGCTTGTACTTAAAGTACTATCTGAACTCTTAGACTTGACCAGTTATAATTGTATCACCATCATGTACTGTACCTACAACTCAATTCTACAGGAGGATTTTCAGTTATATAGTACCTTTCATAAACACTAGACATCCCAAATTGTTTACAACTGATTAAGTATTTTTAAACTGCAGCTGCTGTTGGAGAAAATGCAGTAGCCAATTTGTAAACAGCAAATTCCCAAAAATGCCGATGTGATGACTAGTACATCTGTCTTTGTCATATTGATTGAGGGAGAAATATTTGCAGAATACCTCAGAAAACTCATTGACTCTTCTATGAAATTGTGCCTTGAGTTTTTTTACATCCACATATCAGGGCAAATACAGCCTGTGTTTAAGATCTCATCTGACACAACACCACTGACAGTTAAGCACTCCCCCAGTTCAGCAGTACTGCACTGAATGTCAGTATGATTTTTTTGCTCAAAGTCTGGAGTGGAACTTGAGACAACAATCTTCTAATTCAATGGTGAGTGTGCTACCAATAAGTCTGACTAACATTGTGCCCTAAACCTCTGTACCTCTTTAACTCTCTTTATTCTTTAAGACTCTCCTGAAAACCTTCTTCCTCAACTAATCTTTTCCTCATTTAATCCCATACATGGTTCAGTATGAAGCAACTTGTGATATTTTACTATTTTAAAGGTACTATAAATGTAAATAAAAAATTGTTTATAATGATCAGATAAAATTCACATTCTGGTTCTGGCTGTTTATTTTAACAACAAAAGATTAAAGAAAACATATTTCCACTGTGTGAACATAACAGTTATCAGATCAAGGTTTAAAGATGAAAGATTATTGTATTAGCCATGGTCTCATTGAATGGCGGAACAAAGTCATGGGCTAAATGGCTTACTTATGCTGCTCCATTTGATGGCCTTATAAACACTGACATGACATTTCCAAAAGTTAGTGTCTATTATTCATTTAACAAAAAAAACGAAAGAACTGCAGATGCTGGAAATCAGAAACAAAAACAGAAATTGCTGGAAAAACTCAAGAGGTCTGGCAGCATCTGTGGAGAGAACGCAGAGTTAACATTTTGGGTCCAGTGACCCTTCTTCAGAACTGAAGGTAGCTAGGTAAAGGTTGGTTTGTATGTTGTGGGGGAGGGGGGAGGAGAAATGATAAGTGAAGATGGGGCTCAAAGGCAGAGAAACAGTTGTATAGATGAAGGAATGAGTAAAGGTCAATCTAGGAGAATGAATAGCTACTAATGGTGACTATTAGTAGCTAACAATGGGTTGTGTGTGGTAGCAACCTGTGATGGGAAAGCCTGGTGTGTGGGGGTTGGGGTAAGGACATGGGAGAAGGTGCTCAAGGCCTAAAATTGTTGAACTCTATTGAGTCCAGAAGGCTGCAGAGTTCCCAAGCAGAAAATGAGGTGCTGTTCTTCCATCTTGCACTGAGCTTTGCTGAAGCACTGCAGCGAGTCAGAGACAGAAATGTTGGCTAGGGAGCAGGCTGGTGTGTTGAAGTGGCAGGTAACTGGAAACTCAGTTTTTTTTGTGGATAGAATGTAGGTATTCAACAAAGTGGTCGCTCAGTCAGCACTTTGTTTCCCCAATGTGGAGGAGACTACATTGTGAGCAGCAAATGCACTAGACTAGATTGTGTGAAGCACTGGTTCACCTGGAAGGAGTGTTTGGGCCTTGGACGGTGAGGAGGGAGTAAGTCAATGGGCAGGTGCTACACCTTCTGTAATTGCAGGGGATGGTGCCATGGGTACATGTTTGGAATGAAGGAGGAGTGGACAAAGGTATCCCAGAGGCAACAGTCCCTGTGGAAGACTGACAAGGGAGGGGAGGGGAATATGTGTCTAGTGGTGGCATCTCGCTGGAGGTGGCAGAAACGGTGGTTTATGATCCCATAGATGTGGATACTGGTGGGATGGTATGAGAGGACAATGCGGACTCTGTTGTTGTGGGAGGGAAGAAAGGGCATGAGAGCTGAAGTGCAGAAGATGGGTTGGACCTATCTGAGGTCCCTGTCAGCCAGGGAACTGGGGAAGGGACAACGCACAACCCATTGTCAGCTACTAATAGTCCCCATTAGCAGCTATTCAATCTCCCAGGTTGACCTTTACCCATTCCTTTGTCTGTCTTTGGTCTCCACCTCCACCTATTGTTTACTTCTTCCCTTCTCCCCCCACTTCATCTTCTACATGAACACCAACCCTTTCCTAGCTATGATCAGTTCTGAAGAAGGGTCACTGGACCCAAAACATTAACTTTGTTTTCTCTCGACAGATGCTGTCAGACCTGCTTTCTGTTTGCATCTATTATTCATTTATTGTTTACTAATCAAAACTTGCAATTATGTGCATCTCAATTCTCAATTAACCAACATGTAACAAGTGACCAATATATTGGAGATAACAAGGTGTAGAGCTGGATGAACACAGCAGGCCAAGCAGCATCAGAGGAGCAGGAA